CAATTTTAGTTTATATTTTATTATTATTTCTTCTCGTACATATGTTAGTCTATAAGGTATTTATAATATGGGCCATGTAGCCTGAACAAAATAAAACAAAAAGTACCCAGTCATTATCCATAAAAACCCATACAAAGAACATTAAAGTCATCGCTGATTCTTTTTTCCCATTGTTCAAATGTGAATTAATCTCTTCCTATTCAAAATGGTAATAAAAAACACCATATTTAATTGTTATTGAAAGTAAAATTTACGCTCGACCGGCAAGAAAGCCTGCAAATGACCATTTCTCTCGGTTATGCACTAAAGAAGGGAAAACGGACAATTTCCAATCCAGCGGCTGGTTAATGGGTTTGGTTCCGTTGCAGAGGAAAGTTAGATATAATTGAGATTGGATCATCGGATCGAATTGATTGATCTACAATGCAGCATAGTTAAGATCTGAGTGAATTTTCAATTGCGACAAATTCTACATAAAACATTCGCGATAAGGTGAATTTTTCTATTGTGACAAATGTATTTTTTGCTAAAAACTAACTAAAGGTTTTGTAGTATGTAAAATTACATTTCATTGCCTTTAAGGCTATATATATGTATTTTTACTAAAATTAGGTCCCCTCCGATTGAACCCCCGTCCAACTCAAACAGGGATCGAAATTATGACGACCTGAGCAGGTATTACATATTTGCCACCCAAAATTGGTCTGACTACATACATTTAAAGCAATTAAACACTGTCTATGTTGGTACACACAAATTACAGTTGGCAAATTGATATACCTAGTTACAACAACTGTTTAAATTAATTTATGAAGAAAATAGTTTCGGTAATAAAACGGTTACGCTGTTATAAAAAAAAACAATTAAAATTTAAGAACAAATATAAAAAAAGTCCTTTTTTATATCATTACTTAAACATTGGTAAGCATGTAATTCATATTTTACTCATATTGTGACAAACTGTGTTTTAATTTATGTCACAATGTGAGTAAAAATTAATATTATTCTCACTTTTATTCAGCCTATATTATTATGTTGTTCGATATATAACGGATACTCCGTTACATGAAATTTTCCTTGTAATTCCTTGAGCAGGTTTTACAAAGAACATAACACACAAACAAACAAAATGTATGGTTATGTTATGTAAAGATAAAGAAGTAAAGAAAAGTTTGTATCAAATAATTAGGAACAGGGTGTTGTGCGATTATATGCGTCCGTCTGTTACTATTAGCGCATCCGCTCTCCGCAACTAACATTGCAACAGCTGTTGAAATTAGAGAAATCGAACCGAAAGCCCTTTGGCTTCAGACGAATAATGGCCGACGATTGCAAACCGCGATGCGTAATTATATTATTATTATTAATAATACAAGTGGAATTGTAATAGAATTATTAAAGTCTGTGCTATTTGTTTTATAAAAAAGACTGCCTTTTTTATAAAACAAATAGCTAATATAATATAAACTATTTCTAACAATTAACAATATGTGTCTAACATTTCTATCACGATCAAATTATACTTACTGAACTGAACCATCTTGTATCTAGTGTTAAAACTAATAATATGAATGGACTACGCAGTGTTTCATAGGAAAAACATAATTATTGATTTTTAATCGCATCCCCAGTTGCTTGAAAGTTCCTGTATGGTTTGAAAACAGTGTTGTAGCTGGTAGGTGGCGCTGTTGTTCCAGGCAAGACATTTGTCGTGACTGCTAATGTAATATTATTTCTTATATGTAATACTAGTTACGCGCCCCGGCTTCGTACGGGTGTACTCGCTAAAAACTACATTACAATACGGTACGTATTTTAATAAACAGAACATACAGCGGAAGTGTTATCATTTTATACTGTTTAAAGATATGTAATTATAATAATAATGTCTCGGGACAACTCACACAGCGCCGGCTAGTCTCAAGCTAAGCAGAGCTTGCGTTTTGGGTACTAAACAACTGATATATATATATAGATTTTTGTGTTAATACATACTTAACATACATAGAAAACACCCAGACAAATACAACCAATCACACTCATGAATACAAATGTTCGTGCCGTGCGAGGAATCGAAACCGGTACCAATGGAAGTACAGCGATGTGCTAAACCGCTATACCACCGAGGCTGTCAATGGAATGTAATGGAAAACAAGCTAACAGTCTACCTGATGGTAAGTGGTAACAGTCGTTATACCTTTATAAATCTAAAACTGCTGTTTTCAACATAATATACATTTCTAGTGACGAGTCCCGGCATCGAACCATTACAAATCTTTGAAATTCTCGACTTATTCTATATAAACATGCATGTATTATACATATAAACCTTCCTCTTGAATCACTCTATCTATTGCTGAAAACTGCATTAAAATCCGTTGCGTAATTTAAAAGATATAAGCGAACAGACAGCGGTGGCGACTGTTTTATAGTAAAGACTAGCTACTCGCACCGGCTTCGCACAGGTGTAGGTATATATATTATATATATATTTATTTTTTTATTATTTTAATTTTTATATATAAACCTTCCTCTCGAAACACTCTATCTATTAAAAAAAACCGCTTCAAAATCCATTGCGTAGTTTTAAAGATTTAAGCATACATAGGGACGGATAGACAGCGACAGCCACTTTGTTTTATACTATGTAATGACGATTTACACAGCAGTCTTGTGGAAATATTATATATCCTTTATTGCACTTACATATATACATTTTTAAATATTATTAATTAGAAATAATGTTAACAAAGGAGAACTTATCTCTAAAAGAAATCTCGTCCAGTCAACCCAATACAGCGTGGTGGGAAGTGTTGAGTGGGTCAAAATAGGTATTTTTTAAACATCAAGTCATACCTTTTATTCTCTTAACTAGCTGTACCCGCGTCTACATCCGAGTGGAATTTAACTTTATTTTTCTAAAATAAAAGTAGCCTAAGTTACTGCTTCTTACATCAGATACCTGCCAATAAAAATCCGGTCAAAATCGGTCCAGCCATTTCAGACATTAGCCGGAACAAACAGCCAGACCGACAGACAGACAAAAATCGTAAAAAATGCATGTAGTATAAACAGACACTCCAAATTTATTTATATGTATATATTATTGCCTAATCGCATATACTAATAATTCTATATTATTCTTATCACCCATTGCATAGATTTCATTTATGCGATAGAATATGTGGAGAATATAGCTGTCTATGAATAAAGCACGTACGGTTGTAATAGACTCGTGACTTTTTCTTTTTTTTATACAACGTAGGTAGCAAACAAGCATACGACCCATCTGATGGTAATCTTTTTAATCGATTAAAAGCGGAGATTCTCTATACGACTGTATTTCGTTACGTTTAGAAATTAGTTAACTTAGAAAACGTCTAGCCAACCCGTGCAATATCATCTGCCTTTTTTTTTCTCAATTATATTTGTCTGCCATTTCATTGATGTTTCTCTAGTATTGATCGCACAAGTTACATAGCCTATAGTCTTCCTCGACAAATAGTCCATCCCACACCGAATTTTCCATACATAACCACATTATTCATTGCTGCTCCGCTCCTATTGTCCGTAGCGTGATGTCATAATTTCATTGTCAGATCATTAAGTACTTATACATATATAGGATTTATCTTTATATTTATATATGCATTATTTTGGTTTATTGTCAATCTTTCTCTGTAACATTCATGGTTGCCTGGTAGGTAGCGCCGCTAGGGCTAGCTAAATATAGTCTCAATATATAGTACTCAGGGAGTTTAGTAATGTGTCCTAATAATTTCATTGCTAGTAATGTATCATGTCAGGTTGACCTCCACGCGGTGCCCCCTGGAAACCATAGTGGCAAATACCCATTTGCCAATATGGGCTAACGGACCTGACCACATGTTCAGCCTATCATGCTCTACTGATGCCCCGCCAGCGTAAACAGTTAACGCAGGCGGGTACATCGTTCCATCCTCATCCATAAAAAAATTACCTTTCTAACAGTGAAAGAATTTTCAAAATCAGATCAATCGTACCGGTGATATACCCGGATATACAAACTCACAAATTTATAATATTAACAGATTGAACAATAATCACAAAACCATCTATTTTACATAACATTAAATTACACAATTGTAACTCAATAAAAGTAGGTAACATGACCCAATATTTTATAAGTGTGAACAAACAATACAGATTTCGGTTTGGAGATAATTTTAGTAGTTGTTACGCGTATTTCACTATTTGAACTGTGAGAAGAGACTTCAATGGACAAACTGACAATTCTTTTATATAATACAGTTGAATAATCCAAGTCATACTGATAGACGCTTTTCATCTCTATTACATACTAGCTGTGCCGGTTTCACCCGCATGTAATTTGTAGCCTATATGTTTTTTTGGTGTATAAGCTATATTATTGTAAAGTTTCATCAAAACCCGTTCAGTAGTTTTTGCGTGAAAGAGTAACAAACATGCATCCATATTCACAAACTTTCGTTTATAATATAAAATAATTCATTTAAAATATTTAAAGCATAATTAGTTTTTCACTAAATGCATATGAAAGTATTTAGTTTTTTACATCAAAAAAATAATAATAAAAAAAATTTTTTGCCTGTATGTTCTTGCTTATCTCTGAAACGCCTGGACCGATTGTGACGAGATTTTCACGAGTATAAGGTACTCCTTATATTCGTTATCTGTGAGTGAAAATCTCGTAGTAGATTAAGCAGCCTAAGTTACTACTTAGGCTACTTTTATTTTAGAATTTTTCATTATTTTAAATCTTAGCAGACGAAATCGCTGGTAACAGCTAGTTCTAATTTCAGTATATTGGTTATGATTTTATTTGTACCCACTCTTTAAGGACACCAAAACACCTACCTAATAGTCTGTAGGTACAACATGTATACAATCAAATATAAACAGAAAACAAATCCACTAACGTTGTTTAATTGTGGTAATGTTTTTCTAACGCATTGAATTTTAATTGAATATTTTTAATGACACTAATAATTTCAGAAAGGCTCAATAGATAGACGACGGCCTCGGTGGTCTAGAAGTTTAGCACCCCACCGTATTGACGATGGTTCCGGGTACGAATCCTCGCACACGATGCAAATTTTTGTATTCATAAGTATGATTGTTTATGTTGATCTGTGTGTTTTCTATGTATGTAAAAGAAAATGTATTTCAGTTTTAATATCACTAGGAAACTGTTCCTACTGCCCATAACACAAGATCTTAGCTTGAAAATAAATATAAATTTCATTGGAATCCTAGAGTTTTCGCGTGTACAAGTAATAAATATACATCATCCATCCATCCTCACAATCTTAGAATGTATTATATTAGGATATTACTTTTCAAATTGGGGACTTTGTATGATGAATTTCATTACCCTGAATTTTATTCATAGACAGAAATTTACACGTCATATTTATCTAAAATCTTAAATGTTGTATCTATCTTATTTATCCTGCTGCAAATTCTTCGGGAGTAGGCATATGCGCGCGAACCCTAGCTAATCTGTCTTGATCTATATTGAGACTTTTTCGTTTACAAGCTATTTCTTTCTCCAAATCCCCTCGATATTTCAATAGTTCAGACCTAACAGTTTCTGCTTCTCTTATTTTCTCACACAATGACTCGCTAGTTTCTTTAATAAACTTTGCTTCAGCTATCAAAGCGTATTGTGCTTCATCTCTGCAATTTTCTACATTCGGTCTGTCATAATTTCGGACGTGTAGTCTTGTCATTGCCAACTTTGCTCTCTCGTCAACTTTTCTTAAACTATCTTTGAGATAATCAATTAAGTTTTCAATATCAGCTATCTTTTGTAAATTATCCTTTAAGTTTTCTTCCAATTTTTTACACAATTCTTCCGTTGCTGATACAGTTTCTGCCAAAGCATAGTTCGTTCTTTCTGCTTGTAGTTTCATATCTTGACTACCATTTGTAATAATTGTCGATAAATCTCTACGTAGGTTTTCTGACATTTTTCTAATCACATCACAGTTTTGTATACTCTCACTGCAGAAGTGTTCCCAATATTCTAAAGTTGTAGCATTTTCTGGCCATCTAGCTACTCCAGGGTGGTACAGTAATAAATTTGATTCTGGTGTTAAGTTTAAGTTTTGTCGATCCCCTTTCAGGCTAACCATTTTATCACTCCAGTCAAACTCGATACTAGTTTTGGCAGCTTTATTCATAGCCATTTGTTCTTCAACTTTCGCGAGGGTGTTATTAAAAACTCTTCGTATTTCCCCAACTATTGCCACCTCCTTTATTAGTTCTTGTTCAGCATCATCTCTAACTAAATCTGGTTCATATCTATTAGTTCGGAGTTCTAAACATTCTCTAGATATAGCCTCAGGCATATTTAGAATCCTACATGCTCCTTTAAGCCGCGTTCGATCTTCATCCAAAATATGAATCTCTTCAGTGATAGCTTTAAGAGTATCTTCTACTTGATTTTTCCAATAAGAAAGATCTTTCAAACGTTTTTCTAACTGTTTATTTGTATCAGCCTGCTTGTTATCCAGTTTCATGAAAGCATTTGCGACATCTTTTCGGGTGTTAACATCTGTTGCTTTAGCCTTATCTGTGGCTCTTGGAGTTAAAATAAATTCATTGTACTTTCTCCATTCGCCTGTAGAGTACCTAGTGATAGAATATTTGTCTACAACAGGTCTGACACCAGTTGTTCCAGCTTGCGGTGTCCAGTCTAAGTGTCCAGATGCCCAGGGTCCTACAGGTCCCATGCCCAGTATATCGCCGCTTGTACTGTCCGTTGGTTGTGGAAGATATCGCGGCGGTGCTCCAGGAGGATAGATTTTCTTCTCGGGTGGTTGTATCAAACCAGGGACATAAGGGGAAGCAAAAGGATTTTCTGATCCACTAGACATTCCCCCTACCAGATACTCCGGAGTATTTTCGACAACTCTATCAACATTTGGACAAATATTGGGGCAAGTTAACGTATTTGCCGCCATTTTAACTATAATTTATATAATTTTGTAAATATATATAATGGATTCTTTTATGTAAATATGAATATTATAATACTAAAATAAGACTATACTCTAATAAAACTGTCATAATTATCAACAATTGTCAACTATATAAATAAAAAAAAACTATGTAGGATATTGAAACTTTTTAGAAAAATTTTCAGCGCAAAACTTAATCCAACAGCTAAATTAGGTTTATTAGGGGTTTATCATTTATAACAATAAAGGGTAATTTACTTTTTCTTTTTTTTATGTAATTGGGTGGCAAAGAAGGCTATGGCTTGATGATAGGAAGTAACCGTTCCCAATATTCCATATACAGCACTATAAACATTACGTGATCGTACGACACCAGTACATATATTATGTTATTATACCAGAGAACAAAGATATTGTGACTTATCATACAATTTCACTACCTAGTCTGTACCCTAGCATTGAAACAGAGGTTATAAAGATCAATTCACTATCTAATCTGTACCGTACAACCGAAACACAGCTTACATAAGCCGCTTAGCGGCTAAAGTAGGTGAGACTGGGGAACAGAGGCAGGATTTTTATAGATTTTTACAATATACCCTTAGTAAATAACGACGGTAATGTATTTAATAAGTTAAAAAAAAACAGTATAGCTTTGTATGCATGAGACGTGGACATGAACTCAAAAAGAAAGGGACAAACTGGAAGCTTTTGAAATACGGCGCTGGAGAAGGATGGAAAGGATTAGCTGGAAAGATAAAATAAGAAATGAAGAAGTAATGCGCAGGTTGCAAGAAAAAGTCAGATCTTGAATACTATAATAGAAAAAAGACGAGGAAAAATGTTAGGACATTTGGCACGACGAATTTATGAAAGTTATTATTGAGGGAGAGATAGAAGGGAATATCAAGGCACGGCTACATCAAGCAAATGAAAGACAGAATTGGAGTATCGTATCAAGGTTTAAAGAGTACGATGAAAGATCGCGGAAAGTGGCAAGACTTTCCCAAGCTAGAGTTTACCGACAAGAACGTCGCTCATAAATTATGAAGTAATAAAAAAAATAGTAGTAAATCGACATTTGCTTTTACCATATGTTCCAGTTACTAAATCTGTCTCAAGGAGTTCAGTTCACGATTCAAATAAATTAACTATGAACAAACATAAATAAGCACAATAGACATACCACACGTGAATAGAAGTACATTCCCAGTTTATAAGATGCAATAGGAGATACCAACAAACGTTACTTCACATGAAAGGTCACATTTATATTGTTAGAATGGCAGTTACCGTGGGAGACTACTGAGGTCGTAACTAGTGTTGTGACTCTGAAATATAATTCAATGAATCAATCTATTGATAACCTAAGAATGGTAGAATGTAACCAAACAAGTTTAATGCACCGCCTCGTTATTCGATAGAAATAGAATAAAAAAAAACTAAACTTTTTAAATCTATTTAAATTGCGGTCTGAGTACTATAGTAGGCGATTCAAGACATGTACAACTACAAACATGTATTCGTGAGTATGATTATTTATATTGGTCTAGATGTTTGCTATGTATGTATATATATATATTTATAAAAAACAAATCCAACAGTTTTTGTACAAGCTTTTTAACTTTTGGGACTCTATGTAATAAATATGTGGATATTTATTTAAATTTCTATCGTATTATTAAAAAGACTGTTATACCTACTTTATTATGGTTTATTAATTAACCCACAATACATATATATACCAATTTAAATAGACGTACTTATGAATATTGCTGTTTCATGTGAGGATTGAATCTCAGACCATTTTAAGACGATACAGTCCTGAACTCACTGTAACTAATTAAAAATAACATCTAAATGTTAAATAAATACGTAATATTCTATTAATGTAAAAAAAAAAAGTTATATACTTTTATGTCACCTTTTGTTTCATAATTATATCATCTTTTATAAAAATCTTCTAAGAAATGTAGTTAATGTAATCCTGACTATCTCCCACTTCAACAGGTTATGGGCCCAGTACTTTACACTCCAGTCAAAAAATGTCCGACCAAGCTATTTAAATGACTAGCAGATAATAGTTATTATTTATATATTTTAATATTATATGCCAGTTAATTCAATAAATAAATCGAGACAATAGAATCGATTCATTATTATTCAAGTGACTTAACAAATATTCCCATCACATCACTATAATCAACGCCATTGTTCTGCATCTAACACTATGTTTTTACAGCGTTTATGTAGTACCAACTAATTACATAGTTCCTATTTTCATGCAACGGAATCTTGGTTTTTTGGTTCATTAAGTATAAGATTTTATCAAAAACTATTGTTATTAACATGCGTGCAAAGTTCACTGTCATTTTACTGTTAATTTAGTTTAAGAACAATAACTATTCATTATTCTAACTGATAACGCATAACTATCCGTATAGGTAATCGTTATACATAGAATAGAAAATCTTTATTTGAATAATTAATTGTCCATTATAAAACGAATTATTAACTAATAGCTGTGCCCGCGGTTTAACCCACAATGAATTTGTAACCTATATGTTCTTCTGATGTATAAGCTATATTACATTATTATATAATTAAAGTTTTATCAAAATCCGTTCAGTAGTTTTTGCGTGAAACAGTAACAAACATCCATCCATATCAACAAACTTTCGAGTTAATAATATTGATAAGATTAAAACACCAATTGCAATGAAATTAAAATGAAACATATGTTATCGTCCGGTGAAGCTGTAAAGGCCAGCTGCGGCCAGCATTAGAGTAGTTCGAAAAATTAAATTACTTATTATCTTTGATACTCCATCTCACATTCTCACAATTACACGCTATACAATCCTAACATTACTACACTATCTAACCTCACCATCTAAGTACAGTCTAAATGTCATCTTCGTTTATTTATTGCATAACTGGTACTTAACATGGCACCTTCTTCCAAGAACAAAACAATGCCAGTGAAAGAATACAGTTACACGGGGAATATACGGTTTAAGTATAGGTACTGGAAGAATCTATAGTAAATTTATTATCTTGAGAAAAAATTCAATAACGCATTGACAGTTATAATGCTACTAAAGTTAGATATACCGAAATGTGAAAATGCGGTTACCTGTTTCTTAATTGGTCTGTTATCAGGCCTTAACTGATTATCATCAATAAAGATTTAAATGCCAATTATCTAGCCAATCATCACTGATGACGTATAGAGTAGGAAATAAATATAATATAAAAAAATATCTGTTTAAATAAATTGTTAACATACTAGTAAATTTTCAAAATATTATTAATATTAATTTGTCAATGTCCAGCCAGTTCCGAAGCAGAAGGATAGTGAGATCTAACCATTCCACATCTGTCTCTGTCAATATTCAACGTCTTCCTCTTCGAAGCTATATCTTTTTCCAAAACAGTTCTCTTTTTCAATAGATCCTGTCTGACCCGTTCTGCATTTCGCAGTTGCCCAAGAAGAGAAGTGACAGTTTCGTGGATCTTCTTTACTTCTTCTATCAAACCGAGATGTGGTTGGTCCCTTACGCTCTCGCCATGTGGCCGCCAATTATTTCTATTATCCAGTCTCGTTTGTGCTAGTTTCATAGCCGCATCCATTTTTCTTATAGAATCTTTTAAATTATCTATTAAGGCCTCCATATCAGCAATTCTTTGCAGTGTGTTCCTTAAAGTTTCTTCAAGTTTCGTGCACAATTCTTGCATTATTGCAACAGTTTCAGCTAAGGCCATATCAGTTCTGTCAGCTTGATTTCTTAATTTTCTTCCACCATTCACTAAAATAGCATTAAGGCTACCTCTTAAATCGGCAGACTTTTGTCTAGCTGCTTCACAGTTTTGGACATTTTCTCTACAAAAATACTCCCAGTATTCCAATGGAGCAGTATATTCACCAAATCTAGTAGAACCCGGTCGAAACATGATTATATTCGATTTTGTATTAAGACTAAGATTGATAGTCTCAGTATTATAAGCCATGGCTTTGTCACACCAATCGTATTCGATTCTGTGTTTAGCAGCTTTATTTATAGCCATTTGTTCTTCAATTTTATTTAGAGTGTTTTTCAAAGTTGCTCTTACTTCGCTCACTAAATTCATTTCTTTGATTAATTCTTGTTCTGCTAAGTCAGCAACTAAATCTGGTTCAAACCTATTTGAACGTAGATCTAAACATTCTTTAGAAATTGATTCAGGTAACATCAATACTCTAGACGCTCCCTTCAACCTTTGTCTCTCTATTTCCAAATATTCAACTTCCTGTGTTATTTCTTTACATGCTTTTTCAACTTCTACTTTCCATCTGAAGATATCTCTTGCTTTTTGTTTTAATCTTTTATTATTTTCACTTTGTTGTTTATCTATGTTGCCAAATGCTTGCATCATAGATGTTTTAGCATTATAATCTACAATATTAGATTCGGTAATTACCTCAGGATCTAAAACTTTCTGATTATGTTTTCTCCATTCACTGAGGGAATATCTACTGAGAGAGTATTTATTTACTCCGGGTCTTGTACCAGTCATATCTCCAAGTGGTGTCCAATCAACTGTACCATCAGGACATGGTTTAAGGTTAGACAAATATTCATCGCCGGTAGATGGCGAAGTTATTCTTTCAGGTGCATCTTGAAGAGTTGGAATTGGAGAAGATTCTAGAACAGCTGTTTTAGTTTCCTCAGCAGTTTTTAATTCTTCCTTGACTTGCTCGGGTGTTTTAGAAGCCTTTTTGAATGCTCCAATATCAGTACAAACCTTAGGACATTTAACATCTTCGGGAAAAGATGTTAATGTCGTCATGTTATATATTACAATAGTAAATTATATATAAAAAAGGGAAGAGCTATACGTAATGATGATTTTTACATATTCAGTCATGAATGTCACATCTATTCATTAAAGTTGTTTAATATTATCGAAAAAGGTTTCAATGTAATTTACGATTACTTGTGGATACACAAACTAGCTTTTTTAATATTAGTTTTTGGTAATATATGTGTATAATTATATCTTTTTAAATTTGAAACAGAATTATCTATTATAGATAAAAGAGCATTTGTTTTTCTACAAGCTTGACATACATATATATATATATGTGCGTATTTGATTTACAAATTAGGCCTATCATTCACGGAGTGCACCTCACTTTCTAGTCTATAGCAATTACTGTATCAGTTTGATCTCATTTTCACATCCTGTATATCAGCAATTTTCTTACAATAATGACCAGATTACACTATTTATTTCTACCGTTAGGTATGTGATACAATCGTGTAATAAACATAATTAACCATGTATTTCCTGTGACACCCAGGATTTACACAAAGATAACCTAGCTTTACAGACAAATCTGTGCAATTTAGACTTTAATAAAATACTCCATAAGGTACATTAAATTATAGTTAAAATTGCTCTATTTATATAAATATCGTAATTAGTAATTAATCGATTTAAGTCGATACAGTCGTTATAAATCGATCGATTGTCCGTTACGAAATAGTGGATTTCTCAACAATTCAATTGGAAAGAACCTTTCACGTAGATTAATGGACGCGTGATAGACGCAACGGATTTAAAAAAAAAGTTAGTCGCGTTTCAATGACGATCATTGCAGATTATTACGTCATCTTGAAACACAAATGGGTTCCGTCACTTTACGTATCTACTATTATATGTATATATGTTATATTATGTTTTTGATACCCTTATATTCAGCGCTTTAGATACAAGAAACGTGGGTTTGTAAATAGATCCAGTTCTTTAATTTAATCGCAGTCGGCATTCATTTAAAATTAATTAAAATATCATTTAATATCCATTCATTCGTATTCCAAGGTAAATAATCTGATTGCATCGATTTGCATAGATTTTAATTGATTTTTAAAATCCCAAACCCTTCAACGGTTAGTTGTCAAAATGATATTAACCCCCCATTTGCGAGATCAATTAGATAACTCACAGATGCGGCTAGTGTCCGAGTCCAATTTTTGGCTCCTTTGAAAGGATATTTTTTTTTATTGGGTTGGTTGGGCTATTGGTTGGGCAGATGTGTAGCACCTGTAGCACTGCGATCTACATAGATCTATTGTGCTCGCCCTTTTCAAAGTTCGCTACCTAGACCCGTCAGGGTTTTGAAAAGATAAGATCTAAACTCTATTTCTATACTGTGTGATTTCTCTGTTTTAAACCAGAAGATAGCTTAATGTTTAGAATAAGTAATGTAATGTATCATACTTCTTTACTTTATTTGTTTTAGCGCCATTTAGACCCAAGTTAAGCTAGCTAAAGCTTGTTACTAAATAACTGATACAAATACATAGATATTTTTTTTTCGTAAATACATAGAGAACATCCAGACCGATACAAATAATACGCATGAATACAAATGTTTGTGCAGTGCGAGGAATCGAACCCGCGACCATCGCATATAAGGCGGTGTGTTAAACCGCTGGACCACCGAGGTCGTTGAAATTATATTGTTGCACTCGTTATTTATCATTAAAAATGAAATTTTCATTCTGTTGACAAAGCTAACGTTTTGGCGTGAGAGAAACACATTATTACCTCTGTGTAATATTTAATGTAATGTAACACGGTTTCTCATTATGTCATGCACTTTTACTTTTTAATAATCATTTTTTGCGACGTGACTTTGAGCTTTTAGTTTACATTAATCTAAATATATATAACTCAAAGGTGACTGCCGTAGTGATCTATCAACGCACAGTCCAAACCACTGGACGGATCGGGCTGAAATTTGGCGTGCAGGTAGATGTTATGACGTAGCTAAGAAAGGATTTTGATTAATTCTACCCCCAAGGAGATAAAATAGGGGATGAAAGTTTGTATGAAATTTTGTCAATTTTAAACCGATCGCGCTGAGACGTTGCATGCATAAAACTACTATGACGTAGGCATCCCTAAGAAAGATTTGATAAATTCCACCCCTAAGGGGATAAATTAACGCGAGCGAAGCAGCGGGCAAAAGCTAGTATTGTATAGAACAAAGATTTTATTATTTTAATGTTTGTAAAATATTCTAAGAGATTTCCTAATGATTTTAACCGGTATATCGACCGGTTGTCCCTGTAAAAGGGTGCCATCAGACAGAAGTCATATCTGTCAGGCAAAACTTGGCCTTCAGCAGCTGTGCTTAGTCCTTCCGCGGATTTGGAGTGCCATCTGCACTCGCCCCCTACTGTTTATTTACATCTATGACTTGAATCGTGGTACCTCTTCTATTTTTGACATCTACATCCAGGTAGGGTATGGGGTATAGGGATGTAGAGATCTTGGCTTAGTATAGGATGAATAGGTCTCTAATTTTGAAAGTGTTCTAGATTTCTGATGATTTAGAAACACAGACCTTTTATTTATTTATATATTATAAATAAATAAAAGATTAGATTATTCTAAACTGTTATTGATTGGTTTCTAAATTATGTGTCTACGTTCAATTGATTCAAGTATTGATACTGGAGTACTGTAAAACTCTTTAAACACGAAAAAAATAAAACAAGATGGGTATGCGTTTAGAAATGGTACTATTAAAAGTATGGGATATTATTAATAGTATTGTATCAGATAAGCACTTTGACAATTTTTTCTATCCAATATGACTATCTCGTAGTCTTTGACAATAGAATTTTGATAATGTTAAAAATTATAATGTAAATTAATAATGGAAGCATTTCGATCATTGGACTACCAGTATTAATAAGAATATATCAGTACAATTCACACAGCGCCATCTATTCCCAAGCTAAGCATATTTTATGTTATGAGTACTAGACAACTTATATAAATACATAGATACATATATTTTAATACATAAATAACATACATAGGAAACGCCCAGGCACATGAATAAAAATGTATGTACCGTGCGAGGAATCGAACCCGCACCCATCGGAAGTAAGGCGGTGTGCTAAACCGTCAGACCATCGAGGTCATGGACTAGGTATTTACGATTTGATATTATTCAGAAGTAAATAATGGCACCAGTAACTGTCTTGTCCGACGAACACTGGTAGCTTTGTTGTTAAAATGTTTTCACGAATGTGAAACTCAATGCCAAGCTCGTGCTAAACGAAATATTATAAAGGACAGAGAGAACGACTCTACTTAAACATAATTTATATTAAAATACTAGCTGTATACGCGATTTCGTCCGCCTGGAATTTCATTTTATTTTTATTTAAATAAAAGTAGCTTAAGTTACTCCTTATTTATCAGCTACCTGCCAAAAAAGTCCCCTTAAAATCGGTCCAGCCATTTCAGAGATTAGCCGGAACAAATAGACAGATACACAGACAGACAATAATTGGTATATGTACCGTATTTATATACATATGCATGTAGTAAAAAACGGTTATTTCAATATGACAAGCAGACAATCCAATTTTATTTATTTGTATAGATAAAATACATATATACATATAGATACTAGTGGTCGACAAGTGATCGAAATTCAATCATTACATAATTTAACATTCCGTGAGACAATATACTTAGAGTTGCCAACCGTCCCGTTTTCCCAGGACATCTCCTAGTTTTGAAGTGTCCTGGGAGGTCCTGAACAATTATTTGGCAGAGTCCAGGGTTTGCATATGGTCCAAAATATGCGCGCCTCCTAATTACTCATTTTGAACAGTATAATTTTATCAAATACTTTATATTAAAAATCTGATTATATTAAGTAATTACTTGAATTTTACTACATATTAATATAACTATTGCAACACTATTAATGCGTTCTGTTTTTAAATTGGATAGGCCTGGATTTTTTAAATTTCAATCCTGGTTTTTTAAATTTCTGCTTGGCAACCCTACAAGAGACAAATATTCGACCACAGACTTTCAACATTACATGAAAGAGTTTATATGCGTGTGTGTGTCAAATATATGGCACTGTATATGAATATATTAACATTTAAATTAAAATAAGAATCATCAAAATCAATAGCCAAGAAAATATCTCACTATGCTCATATAATCTACAAACTAATTTTTTATAAATTAAATGAATAAATCTTATAAAGTACAAAATTTTTAAGATTTTGTTCTTAATTCCACTTTTCCAAAGTCGGTTAAAAAGCAATAGATATGAAATATGTAGATCATTACAATGTTATATGCCCACGACCCCGGCATGGCAGAGTTCACCAAACCGCTATATGACCGTAAAAAAAGTTCGCATAACGTTTACTTGATGACTACACTACATTGTGCTAATTAGCTGACGTGCATACGGAACTCCATATTCCATTTACAGTATCTTTGTAGTTCTTGAACGAAATATATTAGAAAATCGTTCCTAAAGAGGTGAACTAAGCGAACTTGTTCGCAGATCCCTCGCTTCTTTAGTTCAGTTTATAAAATCGTTTATATACTTAAATAAAAAAAAAATATGTGATCAATGTATGTTATGCAAGATATATGAATCCAAAACAATATTAGTTAGAACTCCCTCTCTCCCCTTTCAACCCCTTACAACTCTTTTTTGGCATAAAAATGTAGCCTATGTCCTTTCTTATGGTCTAGACTATATGTGTACCAAATTTCATTTAAATAGGTTAAGTGGTTTTTGGCTTTAAAGCGAGACAGACAGACAGACAGAGTTACTTTCGCGTTTATAATATTAGTAAGGCTAAGGATTATATTTGCATAACCGATTAGGTTACAGGACGTAAGTAATAGACGTCACTTAAAATAATGTAAAGATGGCCAAGTTTAGTAATTCCTATTTAATCATGAAACACATTAAATAAAAACCCCAAAAAAAATTAAAAGGCACATTAACTAATTTTCTAGTAGTTTACAATATTTATTTACATACAAATTCTCTACAATCTTAGATTTAGTAAATAACTTCGACCTATCGTACACATAGTGATTATCCTATCGTGTAACGGCCACCTAAATTTCGACTGGATAACATCGATATTATCCGTATCGATTCAATTACGTTACTCGAGACGTAACATTGTACTCATATTATGTCCCTGTCGACACTAGTGAAGGTTATTGTTGCGAATTGGATTATTGTTACATGTACATAACATATGTCTCTATTTGTTGAAAGTAGCCGATTTGTGTTGCAATAATAAACGAAATTCGCGCCAATTTTTAAAATCTTTTAGGTTATTATTCTTTGGTTTTTCTAATAAATGTTAAATTTCTTTGTATATTGTAATATTCCAATTACGAGCCTAGTTTTTTTTTTGTATTCATTGAAAAATATTTAAATATTACAGATTAATTAAATAAATTACACGCTGTTATAGATATTGTTATTTACATAAATACATAGATAAATTGTTAGTTCCTTTAATTTATCTTGATAGATTAGTTCATTTAACTTTAATCAATAGAAATGTTGAAAAAAATATATATTTATTCGTCATAGTCGACATTATTTATTTATTTGTATCTCTATGTTGATTTTTAATTGCATTTCTCTCGAATATAATAAATAATTTATAGTTGGTGATATTAATATCTAATATATCCTATTATTCATATTAGTTAATTAATATTGGTGAGTAAGCTATAAATTATTTCCAGGAAACCGTTATTTTAATGTCTAGTTTTTATTATGTAAATAATTTATTCTTTTCATAATAAAGGAAAATTTTAAACATGACTTTGTCTTTTATACATAGAAAAGAATATCATAGGTACTTCGGGCATGACATAATGAAATGTAAATGCATTCTAGCATGTAAATTAAAGTGGAGGTGTTATGTATATAAGAAAAAGGAAGAGAGGGAATAGAAACGGTGACTAGAGGTCTCATTTTGAGTTTTAAGTTCAAGCAGCCCCTTGTAAACGACTATAGGTAATTTTTGGTGAATTAGACATGATGGGCTAACTAACCTAAGGTTTACTATTAACGAAAGCAGGGAGATTTTTTTTTTACAATATATTTGTGGGACCTTATGTCATTTAATTTATTTGTAGATATACGTGAAAATTCTAGTCAAAGTTGAACAACATTTATTTATAATTGTTACCTATCTTTCTCGTTCGTTCTTCTTGAGACGAGTCTGCTCTTCTAATTAATTGTAAAATTAAAAAAGAGAGTATTCTAGAGAGCTTGTATTACGTATAATTAAATGAAATATGTTATATTTCTTCAAACGAATCTTCCAAGCTATCCAGACATCTGCCTACTAGTAAAACAGGTGGGATATTTTTCGCACCTGCATTCTACCACGCGAAACTATACCTACGCCAGCCTATATTACTTGAAACTCGTTTTATTATCACACCTCAAGGTTAAAGAGCTTTCAGCTAACTTTCGCTTTACAATAAGCTTGAACCAGCGACCTTTTTAAAGGTTCTCATTGTGATGATTGTTGTTCTGTTCATAACGGTATTATTTCAGGTAACTGATGAATAAGTATTACCTTAACTGGAAATGCTTAGCCGAAGAATTAGTCAATGAAATAATGTATACTTTTTTCCGTCCAAAAAAAATAGAAGAGTAACTATAATTAAAAGAACAAACAGTATATAGTAGCAAATATATAAATAATTTATCTAACAAAGTAACTTGTCTCAACAGAAGTCTTTTAAAATTACACCGGTATATGCGCCTATTACATGATAGGACTTCCTAATGGTTTTTCGTCAGTCACGAACTCACGACTGGGGCTGATTAGAAACCTATCATAAAACAAAGTTCCTGGTTGATGCTTGCAATTGTCATAATACATCATAAGAATTTTGTTGTTATTCAAAATTGAACTCTGTTGACAATAATTGCCTAGGATTTCTGTATATAGCAGGTATGTAAACCTACTAACCTACTTATAAATCTCTTAGTGAGGTGATAAAACTGACAGTAAGCAAAATTATTGTGTATTCAGATTAAGAGCATATAAACAACAAAGCCTATTAGCACTGCACTCTCCGCCAAATACTGCCAACCCCGTTATGAATCTGGCGTGCAGATATGGTTAGGTAATAATCGTTACTATTAAACCTATTCATATTTATCAAACGACAAAAACAAATTACTCACCAGATAAAAGCTGCAGCCAAGCGCAAATATGAAATACGGTCGTCGATTGACAAAAGAAGAATAACAGCATTGCACAGATTGTAAACAGGGCCAACGCGACCGCTATTCCCACCAACACGGTCGCAATTTTGAATACCAGCCCATTTATTGACAGGAAGTCGTCCAACCTTCCTTTACAGTCCTCCACTTCATCAGCTTTACAAATTTGCCATAGTCCAAACTTCCTTGGATACTCTGTCTCTAAATCTCCGATCCATTCAGGTGTCACAAATGCAACAACGGCTATAATCGCATAGCAAATCGTAAATATCGCCCAAAGCACACCAATAGCTTTCGAATTTCGAACATAGTTTGTAGCGTACAGATGTGACGAATCCACGTACTCGATTTTTGAACCCATCTTGTAGATATCCGGTTATTTTTTTACAATATAATCGATCACTACACAACAAATAAATAACACGTTATTGGTAACACATTTTACGGAATTCGATTAATTAGACTATAGATCCAGTATCATTAAAATGAAAACAGATAAATCCATTCATGACTCGAAGGAAAAGTATCGTTGTAACTATTCGAGGACGTAAGAAACACGACACGAAACTGAGCACAACCTCTCGCCGCGCGCCATTCGGTTGAGTGAGAAGTAGTGGGGATAAGTAATCAAGCTACAAGTTTGACCTATTGCTTCCATTTGTCCATTTTTCTTTTAAATAGTATAAGTAAAATTGTATAGAACATAAGAAAATTAAAAAAAAACAATTACAAATAATATTTTTAATCTTATATATGTGCTATCTATCTTTATATGGAACAATTTGTAAAGATATTTATAGTTTTACTTCAGTTTACTTAACAATAACTTTAACCATTATCTGACATCAAAAGACATCTGGTTATAGGAATGTGAATGACATCATCAGACATCTAGCTAACAGATTGTGAACTTAATGTAAGTACATGACAAACCAACACGCATTGTTCGTACTAACTGGTACTGACATCTAGCGTAATATTAAAATAAGATAACATGATATGGGTAATACAAAAGCATCACCTTAAAGAATATTATTAAAGCAAACTAAGTTACTTATAAGATCTTATATAAATTTATTGTTATTTGTACATCATAAAATAGCTAGAATAAAATCGAATAATCGATTAAATCTTTATCGATAATTAACGAACATCTTTATTTGCAATAAAAAAAAATATATAACCCTGTCAAAATATGTAGGTAGATTTTTTTAACATGTTGTTATGAGCGAAGCTCTCTGTAATTTAGTGGAATAATATTAATGTTGACATAAATAAAGCAACTGACGATGAAGTTTTAACGTCAAATGTCAAAATTAAAAAATGTTTCTGTTCTCTTGTATTTCACTATTTATATAGTAAAATATTCATTATAAACATTTGTTTCTTCTGTAATAAAATCAGTAATGTAGATGTTTCTAGAATATATATCAATATGTGATGTGAAGTGAAATATAATATTTAATAATGTCTGTGAGGGACAAATGGGTTCGCCGGTTTTCAGTCGATGAAACATCGCGACATAAAAATGGATTTACCATCTATAAGATTACCTCCGTTGTAAGTAAATATCCTAACGTCCAAATATAATATTTATTGAACGCATACAATATATTAAATAGTCCATAATCTTCATAAAATTTGGTCCAATATGTACCAAAAGTATATACTAACTTTCACTAATTAAATACTAAGGTCAGTGCACAGGTAGGTTATTAAATTATTTTTAATCTTTGCGAAGCTAAAATTTCTCTCATTTTAATTTACAAGCTGTAATCTGTGGCTTCACTCAGTTGATTCATAATAATATTCATTTTCAACCCAGGATATTCGTGGGTACTAAATTTCATAAAATGATTGCATCATATGAATGTAATTTAGAAAGATGTTTTGTCATTACATAATATTTAGTAATTACTAACTTCTTACTTTGTCAATATATAAAGCATTGACCTGGTTAAAAATTAGCCAGTATATTTTTTTTAATGATGATAATGAAACGATGTACCTGCCTGTGCTGACAGTTTACGATGGTGGGGTCCAGTTAAGGATGATAATATGAGCATGAGGTCAGATCGGTTAGCACATTGAGACAAATTTGTGCAATTTATCACAGTGTTCTCCAGGGGATCCACTTGGAGGTCAACCAGACATTATACATTGCTAGCAATAGGATTATTAGTCTAACAATCTCTTTCACATACATAAAATTTATGAGAAAATACATATAAACACATAGGCCAATACAAACAATCACACTCATGACTACAAATGTTTCTATCATGAGATGAATCAAATATGCAACCATTGGCAGTAAGGCAGTTTGCTAAACTGGTAGACCATAGAGGCAGAAAAGGAGTAATCTATACATTTAAATAAAATTGTAGTGTTGGTTGTCTGTGTATAATATTGAAATAACCATTTTTTACTACTCGCATATGAGTATAAATATGGTACATACACCAAAATATCATTTTTTGCAATTATTGTCTGTCTGTCTGTTTGTTTTGACTAATCTCTGAAATGGCTGAACCGATTTTGACGGGACTTATTTGGGCAGGTAGCTGATGTAATAAGGAGTAACTTAGGCTACTTTTATTTTAGATAAATAAAGTTAATTCCATGCGGACAAAGTTGCGTGTACAGCTAGTGCAATATAAATTTGTTTTAGTTATTCCCAATCGAATCTCCTGAAGCAGTCACTGTTGTGTCGGTGTGGAAACGATACAGCGATGTGCAGCGGCTTCATAAGAATATGAGACTCCTCCATTCTGGTCTACATTTGCGGGGGACTTTCCCTACTCTTCCAAAGTTCAGCTACTTCAAACGGTTTCAGACAGATGTGAGTATGTGTATATTTAAAAAAAATATATGAGCTGAGTGACTTGTCACTTCTTCTTAGCTTGAAAATACTCTGAAATGTCTAAATCTACCATGATTTGCCATATGATAAGAGTAGCAGACTCTGATCTTGTCTTCCATGAAAGAATTGCCCAACAATTACAAGTTTTTTTTATAGAGTTTGTTATTGTTGTTTGCTACATGTGTTTTTAAGATCATCAAATCAACGGGTCTTATTCCTGGCCAGGAATTATAAGTATTACAGCTAGTTATTGTATTTAAGTGGTATAGCTAATTGTGTATGTAAGTTATATTTGTGTCATTATATTTTTCAGGTAATAGAAGAGAGAGCAAAAACTATTAAAACTTTGCTGGAGTTTATAGCAGAACATAGGCTGTTATTCACAAGCATGGATTTTGTTGATTTTCTACAGGTATTATCGTTTGTTTAAACAACTGTTAAAATGAGAAATTGTTACATATATATACATATATTGTAGCGCAATGATTATCACCTCACCACTGTAGCCTATACTTATATGTGATGTGATGGGGTGTTGGTACTAATCTATTTGTTTCATATAGTATCTAGATGATATGACTTAGTATTCTACACTCAATGCCGAGTCGTAAGTGGACTGGCTTTTTATTCTCAAGTTAAATCTATGTTATGTGGAACAAATGAAAGTGTGCTGACTGTTGACAGAAATAATACAAGTGTAGGTACAATATATTTATATATAGTTATATGTACCTGTCTGAAATGTACCCTGTACCTATGGTAATAAAAATTTGATTATAAACTGATTGTGAAACCTAGCAGAGCGTAGGTATTCCCTAACAGTACCCAAGGGAGTACAAGCGAGGGGTTTACAGCGGGGCTACCTACTGAAGCATATATCAAAACTAATAACATCACTATAGACTACTATGCAATATACGAAATAAATAAATTATATGAGGACATATTATGTTTTTCAGCATTTAATATAAATTAATTAATAATTTTTTAATCATAGCCACGCAGACAAAATCACCCGCAGAATATAGTTAGACTTAATTGCAGAAATTCACTATATCTTCACCTTAATTAATACTGGTAAAACTTTAATATTTATAAATTCCAGACTGGGTATCCTGAACCAGAAAATACGGCAGGTGGGGTCATAAACGCTATTAGATCATCCCTACACCTGCCCATTGAGGAGACAAGTCCATTGGAGTATCAAACCGATGATGAAGACTCTAGAAGTCCATCTCATTCTGGTAAGATAATAATAATAAACTCTTTATTGTGCACAGAGAAGAAATATTAACAAAAGACGGTCTTACAACTTTATAAGACCTTTTGTTAATAATTTTGTACTTACTATTTTTCCTTCTTTTTTACCCACAATGAAAATGCCAACTTTTCTTAATTTATTCTGTTTAAATACCATTTTAAAAAACAATTGCCTAACGAATGTCTAAGTGTAAATAACGTTAGAGTTTGTATGTTATATATTTATAACCTTTTAGGACGAACAGAGCATACTTCAGCTGAAGGTAATCAACAAACCATAGACACAGATGAGGTAGATTTTATATCACAGATACCAATATACGAAGCGGCCGATGTAGAAATTCGAGAGTCGCCTAAAACTAGCCAAAAGTTATCAATTGCTGATAGTTTTGAGTCTATAAACTCTTTGGATAGTATAAACAGTCTCTATGATGAACTCAGCAAGGTGACCATAGAGAAATCGAAGCCCTGTATCAAAGATAAGTCCATATTGCCAGACTTAATAAATTTCGACGCACCATCGACATCCAAATTTGAAGATTATCACACTATGCCAAAGACAAGCAACATAGATTCTGATACGTTGTCTTTGAATTCAAACGAAACGGATTCTAGAAGGAGTAGTTCTAGAATGTCGCATTATAGCAAAAGAAGTGTGTTGTCTCTCTCTAATGTTGAGAGTAAAACAAAGACGGAAGATAGTTACGTGTTTGAAGCTGGATATATGTTGAATTTAGCAGCAAGATGTGAAGATGTGGGTGATTATCAGAGGGCATTTGAATGTTATAAATCCGGCATTGAAAAGATGCTTATTGGAGTCCAAAGTGAGTATTTTTGCTTTAGAAAGAAAATATTTTCATTTAGTTCAGATTGCATGTACACACAATTGTCTAAGCGTAATTTGTTAATTTCCCTTCCGATCCGATCACCTATCCAATTCATACGGGAATCTAAATCACAGATTCATCCGAGGTTCGAACCCCTTGCAGTGGGGAAGGGAATTTTAAGTAATGTGGACTGATGACCCTACTGCTGGCAATGTATCATGTCAGTTGACCTCCACGTGATTTTTCCTGGAGACCACCGTGATAAATTCCTGATGAATTTACCACGATGTGCTAACTGACCTGACCTCATGCTCATCCGATCATCCTCCACTGATGTTTCACCAACGTAGCGCAGGCGGGTGAACCATTCCGTTGTAATCCATTAAAAGAACTAAGGGTTCTTAATAATGGATTATACTAGAATGGTTTCATTCGAATCCATTCCACAGTTTTGGTGTGAATAATCCATTCTCACAATATTTCTTTTTTATATTCGCGACGTCCTCAGTGTTCTACTGGTTAAGCACACCCCTTTACTTCCGATGGTCGTGGGTTCGATTTCTCGGCTACTAACATTTGTATTCATTTATATGAGTATTGGTCTGGGTGTATTCTATGTATATTATATATGTATTTACAAAAAAAGTATATAGTATCAGTTGTCTGTTACCCATAGCACAAGCTCTGCCTACCTTGGGACTAGATGGCGCTGTGATTTGCCCTGGGTTATTATTGTTCGGTCTACACACTTCTCTAAAATCAGGGGCATCATTGGTGAAGGTGAAATCGATACGAGGGAACACAAAGGTGGTGGTGGAGTGAAATGATAACGACCTCGAATTTACCTCACACAAGGCGATAACGCTTCCTAGTCGATAATTACCTCAAACGGAAGCGATTCAAGGAGTTTCCCTCCACAGTCCTGATATTGCACTGATTTTAGTGTTGTTTAGTGTTGTGTGTAGACCGTTTTAGTACGTACTAAATAAATCAAAAGTGCTTAAATTTTAGTTTATTTCATCAACAGTGTTTTTTTTGTTATATACTAGCTACTCGCCCCGGCTTTGCACGGGTGTACATGGATTATATATATACTTATATATTATATTTAAATTTATACTTATTATTATATATTATAGAAACCTCTTCAATAACTATATTTATTAAAAAACCTCTTTAAAATCCGTTGCGTAGTTTTAAAGATGTAAGCATACATAGGGACGGACAGACAGCGAGTTTGTTTTATACTATGTAATGATATATATTTATTTATTGTTTTAAATTATTAAAATTATAATAAAATGTGCCCGTATCCCCACCGATCGATCCCACGTCCAATTCAATCGGGGATCGAAATTGCGACGATCTGAGCCGAAGTTCGAACCTCAAGCGGTGCTTCTGACTAAAGTATTAGTCAGGCGGGAGTTAACCTTCAACCGCTTCATAAGTCCTTCCTTTGGTTTGGAGTGCCATCTGCACTCGCCCCCTATCGTCCGGTGAAGCTGTAAAGGCCAGCTGCGACCAACAGCAATAGAGTAGTCCGAAAAAAAAGCGCGTAATTTTTTTTTATGGTAAAATGGTCATCTGTTAACTTTGCAATAGAGTAATAACAATGTTATCGGTTAGTAAATCCGCTATCGGTTTTATCCGATAATATTCGTAATATATCGATAACATATCAGCGACAGTGCAAGTTGTGATTACGTGCGCTACACGCGTTTTAACAATGGATTTCTTGTATTTACATCATTATTTATTTGGTGTAGACCGACCAGCTGATATTGATAAGTGTAAGACATGTTTATATATATACTAGCTGTGCCCGCGACTTCGTTTAGAAAAGTGACCCTTTTCCACTCCTTACAACCTTTTTTCGCATTGTAAAGTAGCCTATGTTATTTCTCTGGGTCTAGATCAGTGTTTCCTAACGTGGGGCCCACGCCTTACTTAGGGTAATTTGATTATTAAGGGGGACAAATGGAAAATATACTTTTTATTAAAATTATGTGGAATGTAAATTTAAATTTTTATTTAATTACTGGTTAATTTACTATTTCCTAGTGAATTTCCTAGAGAGGAGGGGGGGGGGGGGTTAGGGTAAGGTGGGGCTTGGCACTAGAAAGCTTGGGAAACACTGGTCTAGACTATCTATACCAAATTTCATTTAAATCGGTTTAGTAGTTGCTTTTGCATTTCTAATTATAGAATATATAATATAATTCTGAGTCTGACCTAATTTACTTTGATTTCTAAATCTGCTGTCTCAAAACATAGCTTCTTCTATGTAGTTTCTTATACCTTAAGGTTATTAAGAAATTTTAACTGTGACTGATTTAAAATTATCTTTATACGTGTTTATTATATTATCAATCGTTATCTATTTTAAATGAGATATCGTAAATATATCGTCTAAATTATTGTTTTGTGTAGAATCTTAGTTTGCTATCTATTTATTGCGTACTGTATGACTAATTGTAGTTGCATATTTTTATTGTTAACTTGCTTGCAGCTTACCTATCATTCTTTTTATTTATTTTTTACTACGACGTTGGCAAACGAGCATACGGCCCATCTGATTGCATTTATTAGTTATTTTAATACCCCTTTTAATATGTCACTTTATAACTGACTTTTACTTCTGATGGTCGCGGATTCGATTCCTCGAACGTTACAAAGACATATTCATGGGTATGGTCGTTCGTATCGGACTGGGTGTATCGACTATGATTATTATGTATGTATTTACAAAAAATGTATGTGTATCAGTTGTTTAGTACCCATAATATAAGTGCTACTCGGGACTAGATGATTCTGTGTGAATTGTTCTGAGATATTATTATATAGAGTGGTGCTCAGTGTTTTTCTCGTTTACAGCCGATACGGACACTCAAAGGAGAGCGTTGATCAAAGAAAAAACCAACAAATACCTAGCGTATGCTGAAGCAATCTATAAGAATCATCTGTCGAATGTTGAACACAGTGTGAGTATTCATCATTCACGTTAGACCTACCATTAGACTGGACCAGTGTTTCCCAACCTTTTTTGAGCCATGCCAATTTTTTAATAAAAAATTTAAACAAATACTTAGCCTATGCTGAAGTCATCTATAAGAATCATCTGTCGAATGTTGAACAGAGTGTGAGTATTCATCATTCACGTTAGACCTACCATTAGACTGGACCAGTGTTTCCCAACCTTTTTTGAGTCATGCCCCACATTATGCATGAACAATTTTAATTGTACACTTAAGAAACTTAAATCATATATTATAGGCAAAATCATTAGAAAAACTTTCAATTGAGTTTCTTGCCAGTTCTTCTCAATTGTATACTGAACTAGACAAATTACTCGTAATACAAAAAAAATTACTAAAATGTCCTACATGAATAAATTATTTTTGATTTGAAGAGTCAGTCAGGAATATACTTTAACATAAAATTGAGATTTGAACTGTCGACCTCTTCGGTCTTATTACAAAAAATCTGTTAGAACTCGGACGAAACGTGGTCTAAATGGTCGTGGTTTAAACCATTCCTAAAGTTAATACTTGGAATAAACCTAACATTATTACGAATCCAGATCTAACAGAGGACTACTTAGTACTACAGTTAAATCGTTCATTATGTATTCCATACAGAAATCAGTCACTCATGTCTGTCACCGTACAATTACGTTCCATTTTACCAGAAAATTGAAAAGATCAAAAATAATATTAGTTCAAAGAAAAATGTATAAACTAAAAATAAATTCATTTCTATTTATCTCAGTCTTCATTATAACTATTTCATTAATATATAATATTTATTAATGTACTATTAGGCTGAAAATCAGTTTTAAATTACAAGTAGGAGTCCTATACGGAGAAAAGGAACGGCGAGATATTTTTATTGGATCGTTCGAATGGTGACTATTTCAAAGTCAAATGAGTGAAAAAATAACAAATAACGTCTTTTATATATTTTTATGTCGTAAAATTTGCTTTAAATATTTTTAGTTAATATATTTTTAATTATAGTTAAAATATTTTTCCTTAAACTACAACTTATAATAGAATTTTTAAAATGGAGTTTGTCTTTTTGCATTTAGACCACTGTTAAACTAGGGGCATCGCAGGTCTAACTTTAGACCATAGATGAATCACGATTTAGAGATAATCTTCATTTTGTAATGAGGAATACATCGGTGAATGGTTTATTACTAGTGCTAAACCAGGTTTATCTTTTTGTAATAAGGCCGCTTGGGTTTAAAGTCAGAGGACTCAACGCTCTACCGTTTCAATTACGTAAAAATATGACCATAGAACATACGCGATTTCAGCTAAATTGATGAATTCATATTCAAATGTATCCTCTCTTTTCTACAGCTGTTACCAGAGCGAGACGAAAATGTGAGGGTGTTACATTGTCCAATACCGATATCGATGTTGAAACGACCATACGAAGACCTGTCCTCATACAGGGTGCTCGCTATACTCGGCTCCAGTATCATGCTGGTGTTGCATAAGAGTGAGCAATCGTGCTACGCTATGAAGGTACTCATAATAATTATAATCTCAGGATAATTCACACAGGCCCAAGGCCCAAGTTAAGCTAGCTAAAGCTTGTGTTATGAGTACTAGATAACTGATACAAATACATAGATTTTTTTTCGTATCATACATATTATACATAGTAAACACTCAGACCGATACAATTAAACTCATGAATACAAAAGTCTGTGCCGTGCCAGGAATCGAACTCACAACCAACGGAAGCGGTGTGCTAAACAGCTAGACCACCGATGTTACAAATCTAATATTATAATGAGAATGTATAGTACCCATAACACAAGCTATGCTTAGCTTGGGACTAGATGGCGCTTTATAAATGGCCCTGGTCTATTATTATGAATAATAATTTATATAATTATATTATTAACCGGGTTTTAACACGAATAATCTATGGTACATAAAGGTATTTACCTCTCTCGACGTTTCGACTAGGTTGCACTAGCCGTTCAACTATAGGTTGCACGATTCCCATGAAATGATTCGTATAAGACCCGATTAATAATATAAATAATGTATATTAAACACGAAAGTTTAATAATAATCAAAATATTTGCAGGTTATACAAAAAATACCAAACAATCTAACTGAATTCGACGAATACTTCCTACAGAGGACGAACGAAACACGCCAGCCTATTCTACCCACTGTCATCCCTTACATGGTACCACTGCAAGCGTACATAGAAACAAACAATTTGATATTCCTCATATTAGCGTACGCACCTGGCGAGAAATTGTTTGACTACATAAAGAATTACGCAAAATCCATCCCTAACACGCCAGCGAGAGAGTTGAATTTAGAAAACGTCTTTTCTGAACCATTAAAGATTAAAGAATTTACCAAAAGTGGTGATATAGAAAATGATAATAATGTATGTAATGATAAATCATTACAAGTAAATAAAACTAGTTTGGAGAGTGTTAACAATAATGAAAGTATTATAAAGACTGACGATTTAGGTAATGATCAACTATCTGTTAATGAAATTGTGGTTAATTCACAAAGGTTAATCTCTAATGTTGATAAGGTATTAAATGATACGAAATTTGATAATAGTGATGTAGAAATTAAAGATAGTAAAGGTGATCTTGAGAGTGCTGTTACAGAAAACTCGTCAATTGATCGGGTAAGTTTATATAATAGCAGATGTACCCGCGGTTTCACACGCGTTAAATATAATTAAAAAATATAGCCCGTGTGTTATTCTGATGCGTAAGTTATATTACTGTAAAATTTCATTAAAATCCGTTCAGTAGCTTCTGCTTGAAAGAGTAACAAAGATCCATACTAAATCTAAATATAAACAATGTATATAGAGATGTAAAAAGATTTTAAATTAATGAGAAATAATGCTCATATCTAACTATATATAACTCAAAGGTGACTGACATAGTGATCTATAAACGCACAGCCCAAACCACTGGACGGATCGGGCTGAAATTTGGCATGCAGGTAGATGTTATGACGTAGGCATCCGCTAAGAAAGGATTTTTGATAAATTCCACCACCTAAGGGGATAAATTAACGCGAGTGAAACCGCGGGCAAGAGCTAGTTATAACATATGAACAAAATGCTTGGCATTTGCAGACATCATTGACTGAATGCAATTTTTTGTTAATTACAACACATTTCTGTTTCATTTCGTAGAAGTACACACTGTTAAAAAAATCCATACTGTGAGTATGGATTTTTTTAACAGCTTTCGCATTTATAATATTAAATAAGATTACCTCGGTGTCTAGTGTTATCAGGCCACATCAATCCATCATCATTGGAATAAAATGGTTGAATTGTATGGTTCTTATTCTTTCAGCTGTCTCCAAGACCTCGTGATGTGTTGCCTCCGTCAGCGGTTTGCAAGTGGGGAGCGGAAATATTAATAGCACTTGAAAGTTTACACAACAGCGGAGTTATATGCAGGTAAACACATACAGACACACAATAACTAGCTGTTTTGCCATATATGTAAATTAAAATCGCTATTAAAAAATAGGGGTTGGTGATAGGTGAAAATTTAGGGTTATATGTAGGTGTTTTTAAAGCCACATAATAAAAAAAAAATTTGGGCTGAGCCACCCTTTAACGCTTAGAGGTATAAAAATTTGTTTATTTATATTCTCAGACCTACTGAATAGACATAAAATTTCATCAAAATCGGTCAAGCTGTTTTGGAAGATTATAAACACGAAACATGTGACACGAGAATATATTCGATACTATCCTCATCATCTTATCATCCTTCAATATCAGTTAGCCCATCGTGGCAAATTCACGAGAAATTTAACATCATCCAGGGGGAAACGCGTGGAGGTCAACTTGACATGGCACATTGCTAGCAATGGTGTTATTAGTCCACACTACTAACAAATCAGGGATGTTATGGATATGAAATTTCGGATACGGATGTTTCGGATATAGGAATTATTATTATACCGGATGCGGATAAGAAATTATTTCGCATTATCCGTTCGTTTCGGATATTTTCGGATACGGATAATAATTTTTTAAGGAATTTCAAAACAGCTAATAAAATGGTTACACAACGTGTCTCAATATGAGGGCAGAGGAAGGCCGAAAAAGAGATGGCTGGACTGTGTGAAAGATGATATTGTAATAAAGGAAGTAAATAACGCGATGACTGCGAACAGGGATGAATGGAAGCGAAAAACATATTACGCCGACCACAAATGAATGGGATAAGGAAGAAGCAGATGATGATGATGACAACGTGTCTCAATTAGGCACCGCCCCTGTCCGATATTATACGAAACTTTTATTTCCGATTCGGTTACGGTTACGAGCTCCCCTAACATCCCTGTAACGATCCCCTTCCTCCCCACTGTGTGATTTTTTTTTTAATGGAATGGTGCACCCTCCTGCGCTAACGGTATACGCTGGCGGGGCACCAGTGGAGGACGATAGGATGTATTATTTCATATTACTTTATTCACAAATGTAACAAATCTCGTTACACAACAGCATGTCAATAGTGATTACATTTTTAAGATAATTATGTCACAATTACAATTTTAAGTATTCAAAATAATAAATTAAATAATATATAACATAGTAATAAAAGTCACTTAATGGAAAATGTCATAATTGTACATTGGAATTCAGATAATCCGTCACATTGTAAAAAGGATGTTGTTCGAAATATGATTTTATTTTGTTCTTAAATTCTGTTGATGTTACTTGCATTGTTTTATTTGATAGTTTATTGTACATTTTTATTTTTAAGTAAATACCTTGTTTTATTGTTTTTGTAAGTCGTAATCTTGGTAATTCTAATTTATGTCCATTTCGTGTCATGTAATTATGGTTATCCGCCTTTTTACGCAGTGTTTTGCTCGTTTCGTGTATGTATGGATGAGCTTCTGCTTGTCGTATCGGTTAATCCTTCGTGACAAAATTATCATAATGGTTTCCAGGGGAACCGTGTGAAGGTCAACCTGACATGGTACATTGCTCGCAATGGGGTTATTAAACCACATTACTAACAATCCTCTATCCCCTACTATGTGAATTATCCTCTGTTATAATAAATTATTTTCTCCACAGAGATCTCAACCCCTCGAATATTCTGTTAGGAGATCGCGGACAGATCATCTTGACGTATTTCATCAGCTACCCAGGCCTGGACATGGCTATGTCCAAATTACAGACAAATCCGGACGACGTAAACATGTATATAGCACCGGAAATGTACATAAACACATTTGTCGATGATAAAGACGAGTCTATGGATAGAGTTTGTGATTTTTGGAGCTATGGTTCTATTATGTATGAACTGTTGTGTGGTCTGGTAAGATTTCTTTTTTATTTGTATTCATCTTCATCACAGAAATATATTCATGAACCAGCTGTTCCCGCGACTTCACCCGCGTGGAATTTAACTTATTTTTATAAATAAAAGAATTTTTCTAAAATAAAATTGCCAAAAGAAATCCCGTCAAAATCGGTGCAGCCATTTCAGAGATTAGCCGGAACAAACAGACAAACAGACAGACAAAAATTGTAAAAAATGTTATTTTGGTATATGTACCGTATTTATATTTATATGCATGTAGTAAAAAACGGTTAGGTATTTCATTATTACAAACAGACTTATATGTGTAGATTAGAAGTATTTTTTTATATCTTAAATAATTAGATTGAATAATTATTTAAGATATAAAAAAATACTTCTGTATTATCTCCGTGTATTGTCCTAAAATATTTTTATTATTAATTCCCGTATTTATAATTAATAATAATTTTTCAGCCGCTATCATATTATCACAGGAGTATGTTCACAAGTCATACGATCCTGCAGCTTCCAGATGGATTGCCACTCGAAGTACAATCTCTGCTCACACAGGTATGGGAATTGTTAATATTAGTAGCAGTAGCGGTTAAACTGTTATGGGTTCGATACCCGCGCAGTAAAACATTTTTAGTTTTTAATTATAATGAGTGTTACATACACTACATCCGTGCACGCAGTTTCACCCGTAAGAAAATTATAGCCTATTTTATTCTCATGTATAAGCTATATTACTGTAAAGTTTCATCAAGATCCGTTCAACAGTTTTTGTGTGAAAGAGTAACAAATATCCACCCATACTCACAAACTTACGCGTTTATAATGTTAAAAAAAAATAAATTAAAGTACCATTACTTAAAAAAAACTATTTTTATTTCAGCTACTAACATACGAGCCTTCGGAACGCTTAGGTGCAGGCAAAGATGGCATAGAAGAAATAAAACGGCACCCCTACTTCAAAAACATCGACTGGCAATCTGTATATGACAGCTGGATTGTACCTGACTGATGTAACTAATTAATTAAGGCAAGAGAATCTTCTACAGATTTAGGAAAGAAAAATGAATCTCACTATGTAATACAATAGTAAAGGTATAGAAAAGAAAGAAGAAAATGCTATATTGGAAATTTCATAGTACCGGTGGTTTAGCGGTTTAGAACACCGCCACACTTCATGGTAGTCGCGGGTTCGATTCTCGCCCGATACAAACATGGGTATTTACTATAATATATTATACATGTATTTACAAAAATATTTAAGAGTTTCTAACAATTGTTTAGTAGCTATAGTACAAGTTACGCTAATTTTGAATTAGATGGCGCTGTGTTTTTTTTTAAATTATGCTAGGTTATTATTATTTATTGTAAGATAGTTAATTTAAAACACGAAATAAAGAATAAAACATTTTATTGTCAACCAATCACGTATACACATTATCTTTACATTATTATAGCTAAACCATCTAGACCATATACTGTTACAAACAAAAAGACGCATCGAAATCGGTCCATTCATTTTAGAGTTATGCGATGGACATACAGATTGATATAGTATACTTATAAATTAATTCACCGCGAGTTAACAACCCGGCTTAATGATAAAATGCCCTATAATGATTTTGATGATTCCTTTTTTTAGTCCAGACTACATATTTCCTATAACAGTGTAATTTGTTGCTAAATTTACACTGTTGTTAGAAATCTCGCCACTACCTCGTCAGCACGACCCGTCCGATTCTAATCGGAAATGTGTGGCCAGGTTTAGTTCCTAATTATTTTGATATACACACTTATGGTATGTGTTGACTAATTTTTTTTATTTTAGTTAATGACCAAAAAAATGTTTAAGTAAAATTAATTTTATTTTATGTGTGGAATTGATAAATGTATGTGATATATATTTGTAATTAGTAATTTAATGTAAGTGTACATAAGGAGCTTTCCATAAACTGATTAGGATGACGGCCTCGGTGGTCCAGCGGTTTATCACACCGCTTTACATCCGATGGCCACAGGTTTGATACTTAGCACGGTGCAAATATTTGTACTTTAGATTGTTTGTATCGGTCTGGTTATTTTCTATATATATTGTGTATGTATTTTTTTTTTAAAATATATGTCTAAGTATTTATACCAGTTGTCTAGTATCCATACAACATGCTCTGCTTACAGTGGGACTAGATGGCGGTATGTTAAATTTTCAGGGTTGTTTATTTATTATTTTATTTATACATGATCATGAAATGTGAATGTAGAATGTCCAGAATTTACAATAGAAGGAGATGTTAGTGATATGGACTATTGAGCCCATTGCTAGCATTGTACCATGTTGGATTGACCTCCACGCGGTTCCCCCTGGAAACCATCGTGATACATTCCTGGTGAATATGTCATGTGCTAACTGACCTGACCTCGTGCTCATCTTATCATCCTCCACTGGTGTCTCGCCAGAGTAAACAGTTAGCGCAGTTGGGTGCACCATTCCATTATCATCCATAAAAGAAACCAGTTTTACAATTTCACACTTTGTAGATCTACCCTCAGCCCTAACAAGTAACAGTAACAGCGGATTTTTGGATGGCCCCTAATAATTATTGTAAATTGTGTTATATAAGAGTGCTGTATAAGAAGGATAGCCTTTGGGAAACTTGGAAACATTATCTTATATATAAAATTCTCGTGTCACAGTTTTCGTTCCCATACTCCTCCGAAACAGCTTGACCGATCTCATGAAATTTTGTGAGTGTATTGAGTAGGTCTGAGAATCGGCCAACATCTATTTTTCATCCCCCTAAATGTTAGGGGTAGTCCACCCCTAAATTTTTTATTTTATTTTAAGGCAAAACAACGTTTGCCGGGACAGCTAGTTTATTTATATATGTTTAATATCTAAATTTGTAATATTATGAGGAAGAATAATATTCCTTCATTTGTACTGGATACTAATTTTGTTCTTAATTTTGACGCGGTCTTTATTTACTCGTAGAATTAAGAAAATCTCGGGTTTCTATCACGTTTTTTTTTTTATTCTGAGTTTCAATGGTAGCTACAATCAAGTCGTGCATCCTATATGTTATATCTGCCCATAATTTTATTTACCATCCACCCATTAGCCAGTTTACCCGCGATCATGGCGGTTGTAAAACTGCCCATATATCGGTAATTCAATAATCTATACATATAAATAAAATTGGAGTGGTTAATATACATTATTTAAATTAAATTAAATTAATAAAGGTATTTACCTCTCTCGACGTTTCGACTAGGTTGCACTAGCACTAGGTAAATACCTTTATTTGCCATAAAATTATTCGTGTTAAGACCCGGTTAATAATTTAAATAATAAAATTGGACTGTCTGTTTGTAATATTGAAATAACCGTTTTTTACTACATGCATGTGAATATAAATACGGTACATACACCAAAATAACATTTTTTACAATTTTTGTCTGTCTGTCCGTCTGTTTGTTCCGGTTAATCTCTGAAATGGCTGGACTTTTTTTGGCAGGTAGCTGATGTAATAAGGAGTAACTTATGCTATTTTTATTATAGAAAATTCTTTTATCGCGGGAACAGCTAGTAATTAATAAATGAATAATAAATAATAATGATATATTTTAATTTAATGCAGTTTGCTGAAAACTGCATTTTAAGCGTAAATTCTGTTATATTATATCAGCAATAGATAGTGATTCAAGAGGAAGATTTACATGTATAATACATGCGTGTTGTAGTATAGAACAAACAGAGAAATTCAAAGAATTGTAATGCATCCGTGAGCGAAGTCGGATCGGGACGTTAGTTTAAAATTAAAACGTGGTAAGAATCCGTGATTTTCATAATTTTACGTATTATTATTATTATATTCGAAAAATTATTTTGACCTATAGAAAATTACTGTATCAAGTAAGTGACATAGACTGATTTTATTTAAAAAAAAAAGACAGATTCCTATAATTACTGGCTGCTAGTGAAGTCAGGGTGGTTTACTAGTTGTATTAAAAAAGAGTATATTAGGTAAAATAAGTATATTATTAGTAATATTTTTCAAAAGGTTAAGGATCGGTAAGTCGCACTTTACACTGACGGCATGGTGGCCGTTTACCATCAGACTGGTCGTATACTTGTGTGGTTAAAAAAAACTACTTAATAAAAGACAAGTGCTAATAATAAGTTGTGTATTTCTAGTCTGTATTTGGAAATAAAATTCTAAATTATTTACTTGAAAGTATTATAATGATCATGTATTTACTAGTTTTATATTATTATTATATTAGTACAAAAAGATGTAATTATTGGTACATTTATAAATAATAAAGTTGAATGACAGTTGATGGAGTAATTATTTATTTACTGTCAGATAAACCCTTGACTATGCCTTGACTTACTCTGCATCTCTCATCCGCATGCCCCTAGAGGTAAGGATTGGGTCTAGGGGTCCCATTATTCGGGGGCCCGGCATCGTATCTGGGGGAACAACTCCCTAGTGACTGGGTAAAACTGCCAAAAATGTCAACTGCGTAAGTCAGCTATTTCTTTTTTTTTTGTACTATTCTAATGCTGTTAGCCGCAGCTGGCCTTCACAGCTTCAACGGAAGAATATGCTAAGTGGTTTGTTTTTTAGCTGTGTTTCATTCGAAGGGTGAGGTATGACAGTGATATTACAGGATATGGATATATGTAACATGTATAACATCTTAGTACTCTGGATTGACAATGCATCTATCACATGATAAGGTGATATCCGTGACCTTATAATCTATAGGGAGCGTGGGGTAAAAAGGTAGTGGTTACTTTTTTTTTTACTAGTGCTATAACTTCAGCTTTTCAACTGCAGATTGATCAGTGGTTTAATGAAAACCTAGAAGATATATTTAAGTTTGAAACAACATTGCAAAAATAGCCTTACAAATACTTAGTAATGAGATAATCAAGTTTTTTATTTAAATGTAAGAACGACAATGTTGCGAAACCGCAAGTGTTTGTGTGCACTACATACAAAGATACAATGCTCTATCCACTGTGACCCGCGATCCACTGTATGGATACATACAACTTAACATCTGTGGGAGGGGGGTCTTTTGCTTGGTCCCGATAACTGCTCGGAGTTTCCCTGCTGCCACACAATGGACCTTGTAAGTTCCTCTTATAATAATAATGGTAATAAAAAAAAGATATAATAATATTACTATACTGCGACACCCGTGGTGCTATGAAATGCGTTTGCAACTAGACTGAAATAATTTCAAACACTGAGATAGTACTAAATAATTTTACATAATTGCCCTTTCGCCTTATACCTGTATAAAAATGAAGAATATAAAAACTAAGCTGTACCGTCTAAGGATCTTTGCCTGTTCAATATTTGAAAAAAAATGGCCGAATGAGACAAACAATAAAATATAATTGAATTACGACCAATGGCCGATCGCTAGTTATTATTATTATGTATTATGCTACTTGGCTATAATTGAGCGGGAAATCACGTAGGTATGTTGACGGAACTCACGTACGTGAGTGACAGTTCGCGGATCGGTTTCTACACTACGCAATCGGTTGTTTTGTAAAACTCAAACTGTGTTATATGGACTGTTTGTGTAACCATATCTATGATACATTGAGAGTGCCACTAAAAATAACCACATTTAATATTCTGAGATTGTAAGCTGAGAAATATGTATCAAATAGAAGTAGGTGTTATTTTGCGGAAGTCGTTTTCATTACTTAATTTATTTATATTATTATATTTAATTCCGCTCCCATTAGTAAGACCATAAATACTCATTAAGGGGGGTTGAGAAGGGGGGTTATTTGTAATGTGAACTGATGACCCCATTTTTTTTTTATGGATGATAATGGAATGATGTACACGCCTGCGCTAACGGTTTACGCTGGCGGGGCACCAGTGGAGGATGATAAGATGAGGTCAGGTCAGTTAGCCCATCGTGACAAATTCACCAAGAATTTATCACGACAGGGGGAACCGCGTGGAGGTCAACCTGACATGGTACATTGCTAGCAATGGGGTTATCAATCCACATTACTAACAATCCCTTTCCCCCCTGATGACCCCATTAGTAACAATGTACCATATCGGGTTGAGCTCCACGCGGTTCCCCTTGGAAACCTTCATTATAAATTCCTGTTTAATGATGGGCTAACTGACCTGACCTCATGATCATCCTTATCATCCTCCACTGGTGCTCCGCCAGCGTAAACCGTTAGCACCGGCTGGTGCATCATTCCAATTTCCATCCACTAAAATAATATTCAGTACGAAAACCTGACCACCGCTCCTGGAAGCGTTACTCTAGTAAATAATAGACAGAAATAGAAATAGTAATAGAATATTTTAGATAATCTAAATATATATATATAACTCAGGTGACTGACGTAATGATCTATCAACGCACAGCCCAAACCACTGGACGGATCGGGCTGAAATTTGGCTTGAAGGTAGATGTTATGATGTAGGCATCCGGTAAGAAAGGATTTTGATTAATTCTACCCCCAAAGGGATAAAGTAGGGGATGAAAGTTTATATGAAACTGTGTTAATTTTAAACCGAACGGGCTGAGACTTTGCATGCATAAAGCTACTATGACGTAGGTATCCCCTAAGAAAGGATTTTGGTAAATTCCACCCGTAAGGGGATAAATTAACGCTAGCGAAGGTAAAAGCTAGTAATATTAGGTATAAACACGAAAGTTTATAAATATGGATTTGTTACTCTTTCACGCAAAAACTACTGAACGGATTTTGATGAAACTTTACAGTAATATAGTTTATACATCAGAATAACACATAGGCAGATAATAACACATATTTCACGCGGTTGAAATCGCGGTGCCCAGCTAGTAACAAATAAAGCGGCAATTATTGCTCCCTTTTGTCGCTAGATGGCGGTAGTATACTCAAATAAGGTGATCCATTCTTGTTGATCAAGGAATGGCGTAACTTTTTTTAATTATTAAAAAACTTATTAAGTTAGTAATAAATGTAATATAGCATCTGTGCCCGCGGATTCTCTCGTGTAAAATTTATAGCCTCTCTGATAACATAATTCAGACGTATAAGCTATATTACTGCAAAGTTTCATTAAAATCTAGTAGTTTTTGCGCGAAACACTCACAGACATCCAACAATCCATATTCACAAAAATATCCGTTTATAATATTAGTGAGACAAAATATCCGGAGTAATAGTCATAGTATAGCATTAAAGACTTTATTTAATGTTCTTTAAGGCTTATTTCATCAAAAGAGATGATTTGCGGTCGCATATGATTGATCACTCTACAGCCCTACTGACTAACTAATTACTTGAAATAACATACATTACCTTAAATAATTAAGTAAAATAACCCCATAGTAAAAAAATACGAATAAATTTTAACTAAAGAACATCTACATCACGTTACCTTCCAACAAACTAAACATCATAATCGGCATATTCGAGAGGACTGTGGCAATATATTATTATATCAGCTTGACCTCCACGCGGTTCCCCATGGAAAGCATGATAAATTATTGGTGAATTTGTCACGAG